ACTTACCTGATATAATTTCAGGCCTTTATTTGGGGGAGGAACCTTGTCTACATTATGTAAAACGAAGATATGTATTATCGGCATTAATACATAAAGGACTTTATTTGCCGATTCACACAAGCGGATATTTCTTCGGTCCCAGCCGGCACCCTCGAGAAATAGGCCATAGACATAAACACCTTCCTATTTCGTGAACATCAATATCATTAATTATCGCAAAGTAATTTTGTATATATGTATATTGTGTAATTATCAATTGCATACTGGTGGTGGTGCCTTGATCTCTTCCGCTATTTTGTTTAAGACTTCATTATGAAGTATAACATTATCTAAAGCCCATTTATGCGCCCGCGTTATTTCTTGTTTCATCGCCGTTAAAAATCCTGTAAATACTGTTTTTTTAAGCTAATCAAGCCATTATTATATTTGATTAACACTAGAACCGCTTACGATGTTATTTTGATTCCGTTAATTATTTGCATTTTTATCTTTTTTGTATTAAATATATAGTATAAAAATATATTTAAAATATATTGAAAATATATATATAAATAATTTTAATAATATAAATAATATTAAAATAATTTTTTCTTTACTAGTCAAAAACAAAAAATAAGAAATTATCAAATTAATACTTGCAGCAGTTTTAAAAGAATATCATCGACGGTTCTAATACTAAGAACACATTCAACACAAAAATATATATATTAAATACCTTGTGGATTGAAGAAGCCAGTCATCCAGAATTTTGATGGTCTCCCGCTCTGCAGCCAAGTCAAAAATTGTTGATTTCTCTCCAACAGTTCCGTAAACCAGAATCCCAAAGAAGCAGACTCCCATGATCGAGCCTTCCAGATCTTCGGTATCCTAGCATCGTATATATTGTCAAGAACATCTCGTAATTCCTGAAAATATATTCATATTTATTCACCTTACTGCGCTTTATATAATGATTGTAATGATAAGGGGGAGCCTAAGAAAATTACCTCGCTCATTATAATTACACCTTCTATGGCCAACAAAAGATCTTTGAGCATAATGCGTATTAATTTTATAACCACCTGTATCCTGTCGATCTCTTGTTTTAAAAAAATGTTCATTGGGGCGGTATGATCCATTGCGTGCAATCTATGATAGTTAAAGCACTTATTATTTTCTTATTAATCATTTTTATTAAAAGAAATTATACAAAATAATTAACGATAATAAATTAATTTAAACCACTATATAATTAAATCGAATAAGTAAGGAAAAGACCTACGAGGCTAGATTTCAGTACCTAATAATACTTTTATATGTGAATTCTATCTTTTAAATCGGGAGACAGTAGTGTCTTAATACTAAGAGCACACGTCGCGTATAAATTACAATTATATCACTTATTCCGAACTTGAAACGCAATCATAAATTGAAGCTAAAATAATAATATCATAATGAAATTGTCAATTTGATATTATTAATATCTTAACACACTAAAAAACTAAGCCTCCACCATATTAGTTCCTTCTTTACTTATTTGCAATAATTAATAATTAAAATAATTAAAGAACAACAGATAATTGATTAACCTTTCTTTAACTTCAAACATGTCATATAATTGCGGTACTTTTTCTAGCATTTCCTTCGCCTGTCTTACAACAACCACTTCTCGGGTTTCTACACCAACGATACCCGCTTCTTTCGGTTGCACGGACATTATTGTATCTAACACAATCTGTGTGGTGTTACTCTGATATCTATATGCATGTTAAGCATGATTTTTCAATTATTTTACATAACTTCTTACATATCTATAATTCTCGCGATAATATCTTACGTAATGTCTGCATTTGGATGTAAACCATACACTTGTGGCGGATCCATGAGACTCATAGCATCTATCGTCTTTAGATAGTCGCTTACTTGTTTCAATACCAAAAGTGGATAACTTTTGTAGAAAACAAAATCTTCCGCGAAAAGCGCTTCCGTAAACCACAGTTTTGCGAAGGTATTTAATAATCTCTTATCGTAGTCGTCTGTAATGCGTCCACCATATTGCACTTCGCCTATCATGTAACTGAAAATATGCAGAGCGAATTAGTTTCTAAGAGAAAGAAAAAAAAAGCACAAGCAGAACAAAAAGTCATGATGATGCCAAATGGCATCAAAAGAGCTCTTGATTATTAAAAATGATTTTTCAATCATCCATATCAGTCACATTAATCATATCATTTTAATGTTACTTTAACGTTATTGTAATCTGCTGCTTTTGCTTGGGAACTGATAAAATTTAGACTTTTTCATTTACCGCACGCTTTGCCAATTTATACCACGCTTCGGATCATAATCATTTAAATGATTATTTATGAACATGCAAGATGCCAGCCAGTCCGAGGAATTAAATTCGTAAGGTATGTTCCATCCCAAGGGACCAAACTTCCGTCTTTCCTGAACAATGGTATGCAGGAATGATACGGTGTATACCAGTGGTATATATTGCTTTGCGTCACACTGGTCCAATATTTCCTGAGTCACACTACTGTACGTCGCCAATAAACTCGCACGTACTCCTAACGTGGAAATCACTTTGATTATGCTACTCTTACTTCCTTACATAAGAATATATCCCTGGTAGAAAGCAGATGTTATTGTCATCATTTTGACGTCAAAATATCGTCATAAATGTCATTTTGATCAAATAGTGACAAATGACGTCAGCTTGCTATCTGGGATCTTTATTTAAGTAAATAGATGCCATGCGGTGGTTCATATGTATATTTTATAGACATCTGTAGTAAGGAAACAGGAAAATCTTTGTGCGGTTCCGTCGTGATCCATATGCGAAAATCTGGATGCGGCGCTTCCATTTCTAAAAGAAAGTTTATCAATTCTGTCATATACTCCAAGCCTAAATGACAATTCTGGCATAATGCCCAGAAACCCTGCAAATGGCTAAAATTAATAACACTTTGTAACAAAAAGAAAGCGTTTCCTGTCTATACTAGTATACTTCAGTTTTCGCGCTATTAAGCAGTCGACGAGCATGAACTTCTTGACCTTGTCCCATCGATATGCTTCTACAAATGATTTCCATTTTCTTTGCGAGCTGTTCGATGTTAGGCGTGGGATCCGATCCCATGCTTAAGAAACAGATCATTGGTGTATTTGGCCTTGATTCACTATGCATTACATCGAAAAGCGTAATCACAGACTCTGCATATTTTGCTCCTAAGGATGATGCTATATATTTCCTTGATTGCGATAGCGTTCTATCCATACACCAAGCTCTGCAAACATATTATTTTATATATTTTTTCGCATATTATTTTATTGCATGTAAACACCAGTCTTTCTACCAAATTTTAATCTATAAATCAATATAAATAATAAAAAGAGCTATGAGCCAATTAAAGAATATTAAATGTTCTTAAATTTAACTGGCTCATAGCCTTTTTTATTATTTATATTGATTTATTCTAATTGAGCCATTTTATTAATTTATATTAAATCTATAACTTATTCGAAAGATAAAAGGAAGTATTGAAAAATAAGAGATTATACTTTCATGATTTTGAACTGTGTCAGTTCAAAATCATGAATATTTTAACAATAAATATCGAATTTTATATCATAAAATATTATGCAATAAAAAAAATGCATTTATTGTATAAATCTTATACAATAAAAAATGAATTATTTATTTGTACATCTAATAAATCGCATCTAATAAATCTTTGTATTTTATATGCATAATCTTCAACTATAGCAGTGATGTTATTTAGATCCGAAACAAAAAATTTGTGGACTGTTGTACAATTTGTACAATTGATATTATAAGATTCTAAATTGTAGGTGAAAAAACTTTGAATTCTACTTTATTAATCGCCGTAAGACAGAAATTTATTTATATTTCAAACAGGATGCTATAAAACTTAAATATAATTTTCATATTCTAACAAAAAAAAATTGTTCATTTGACTAAAATAATTTATTTCGTTTTTATTTTTTTTTAATAAAAAATGTAAATCAAACATATTATATTTGATTAAAATACATACATTTTCCAACAAGAAAGAAATTAAGACAACTAAATTAATTAGGTAAATAAACAATTAATTTAATAAAATTTTTTTATCTTAGTGCAATTGTGTAGTTCAGAGTTAATCACATTTTTTAAAAGTATCTGTCCTGCACTTTTTATTAGAGATATTCAAAAACTTTCCAGAATATATTTCATAATTCATATTTCGTGTTTTACATATAAAATATTAAAATCTTAATTATAAATTTCTTGTGTTATGTGTCAATTCTGAATTTTTACTGCAGTAAAGATTACTTTAATGGAAGATTACCTTATCAAGAGCAATCGTCGGAATGTATCCAATGTGTTATAACCGTTTGGTATAACTTCCTCCTCTGGTGCATCTTTGTCGAACCAATGTTTCCAAACTTTCTCAGAAGCGGGTATTTGAGCCACGATATATTGAAATTGTCTTAATGACGATAGCGCAACTAGATTAAGCCACGTTACATCCATAATCCACTTGCAAGGTTTTGGCTCAATTGTTTTTAAATCCAGCGCTGCGCCACCTTTAATAAAATACTGAAACTCCTCGTGCGTGATGCTATTCTGTTGCAGATCAATTTTTAATGTCATCAACAAAATAAACATATATTTATGTATTTCGTAAAGTCCGCGTGATTTGTACTTAAAGATATCGTAAGTCAAAAATTCGATGATGTGATTTATTCTTCTCTGAGTTATTGGACTCTTCTCGGATCTGGACAAAAATCACGATTTAATACGCATTGCTCAACAGGATAGGATTCATATTTACGACATTAGGAACATCTGTCGTAGCACAATCTCCACAATGCAAACCGCTAGCATTACAAAGAAACTATCTGTGTATATTTACCTAGCTATTGAGATATCAAATCGTTCTAAGAATTGAACAAGGGACGTTTGGTACATGCAATTGACATGCGGCATGTCACATATCAAAAAGTACAAAACGCTACCACGTGTTGCAACCGGTCGAAATTCTTCCCGTGCTGCATCGATTTTTAATTCTGTATCTTTTGCGGTGCTCAGTTTTTTGTTTATCTCTGCCGCTGTTTGTTTCGTGATATTCAAAACTGACATTAATTCTACATCTTCGATTAAAGGACCCTTTGAAAGAATAAAAAAACAACATAGAAAGATATTATATATTGTACTTATTTCAGAGTTATTTAATTAGCGCTACAAAGAGAATTATATACATACTTTTACAGTTCCCAATTTGTATAGAAGATTCGTTTCTAATTCTTTAATTTTTCTATTATTCGCAGCTACATCAGCAATCAATTGCGTTTTTTCTGTCTCCAACTCTTCCTTCTCTGTTAAAATAACCCTTCCCAATAATTGATCTTCTAGACCTGTTAAAATAAGATATAAATAAAGTAAATTAAATTAAATTATAATAAAAAATATATATTTATACGTATTTATACGTATAAATACTATGTAAATAATAGAATATATATTTTTACCTTTCATTGTAACAGTAAAATCGATTACAGATGTGTGAGCAAATATTTCTGGAGTGTAAAAAGGATTTGGTAACTTTGTCGTGATATAAAGTCTGAAATCTTTGCTAATATCCACTTCTTTATCACCTAATTTAACCTTTTATAACAATATAAATTATGTAAATATAAAATTGTGCTAAAGTTACAATCTAAAATATCGTTTTACCTTAAAAGTGGTTCCTATTTTTATAAAATTTTTTTCCAATAAATTGTCTAGCATCGGATCTATTTCTTCCCCTATATCTTCAATTAATAATGGTCGTCCTATCGATATAGAATCTTCTAAATGATTTTTAAAATATTTGTGTGCTAACCATGTTATCTGAAAAGTACATTAAAGCATATTAAATTAAGTTTGTTGTATTTCAATTGTATTACAATTTGATTCTATTTACGTACCTGTAAATCAAACTCTCTTTCTTTATTTTTAATCCATGTTTTGCCTTGCAATTGTGGGTCGATCAATAAAGGATATCTCAATGCTTTCGTTACAATTATTCCATTTTGAATTGATAATTCATCAGTTGGCAGACCTTGCAAGTTCCATTCACTAAGCTATGATAAATTGAATGCTTATTATTTGCTCATTACGAGTTTCAATTATATTTCTTGTGTAATAATTTATATAATTTACCGTAGCTGTATCTGTCAATGCATTAACAATGTTTATGTTAAGAGAAATTGGGATCTTTCTTTCTTGTATAAAGTCGAACCATTTTCTTTGCAAAAGAATTCGGAATTCTTGATTAAATGGCCCGCAATAAGAAAAAAATCCAGTGAATATCAACACATCTCCAACGAGACGTTCTATTTCTGATTTAAATGTAATAACTTGCTCTGTCCATCTTATTTTTTCTCCAGATAATCCTTCAATCATAGCAGTTGCGGTATCCATTTTTGCTTGACATACCGCAGCTTGATCCATAATTTTCTAACAAAATACATTATTATATGTGAAATAATTGTTTAATTTCAATTTCATTAATATTATTACGAAAAGAACGGTTGCTGAAGTATCTAAAATTCTAAAAATTTAGCTACATATTGATCTAAAAATAATTTTGTTAAACTATTAAAATAAATATGCCGAACTTAAACTGATTATTAATGTCAAAAATTTTTACATTTATTGATCATCATGCTTAAGTTTCTTCAACACATAACATAGTTATTTTGATGATCCAATAAAATTTTCGAATTTATGTCTACCTAAATTTTTTAATACTTCAAAATTCGTTCTTTTTGTACAAATATATTTTTTAAATATAGCCTCATGATTGTTATCGCACTTGTCGTTCTTGCGCCACGGCATCGAATTCATTTTGTACTATCTTTAAAGCGTCGTCCTTTTCTTTCAATAATTCTTCTGCTATGATTAAATTTTTGTTAGCTTTCTCGTAATAATTTTCTTGAACAAGAAGATTTGCCTACAAAGTGATTCTTTCTTATTACACATTTCTTAACACTATATTTTTCATATTGAAACTGGAGAACGACCAACGTTATCGCTTAAAAAATGAGAGATAAAAATTAATATATTATGTAATTAGATAAAGCATTTTCTCGCTATATCCTACTATAAGCTATGAAATGACATCGACTGTCTCATCTCGCAACAATGTTTATTAATAGGGAATACCTTCAAAGGTAGCACATCTTTATTTATTTCATAAAAAGAAACCATGGAGATAGTCCACTGTATGAGACCCGCAACGTTTCCGCAGGCTTGCTTTGCGGCTTCATAAGTATACATATGATAATTTAAATATGGCATCATTAAATCGATAGTTTCAGCATTAATATCATCCTTTGGAAAATTTTGTAAATTATATAAAAATCTGACATCAGCTAGAACCTGTGAGAAATAATAGGCTCAAATAATATTTTATTAACATAACATAACATAATATATAACATAAAATAAGACATGAGTTTTTTCGATTATTTTCTATTAACATAAAAATTAATATGTTATAGGACTTACCTTTAGTGATTCCGACCACGAAGGTGTTAGAAATTGATGTTCGTAATCTGGTTTGACTGGTTCCAGCTTTCGTCCAAATAGAATCAAAACACAATCCATTATGAGCGTAATTAAATACGGTGGTTTAGCCAATTTACGAACTGTAGCGATATCTGCTGCTTTTATGGTCTGAAATATGTGTCAATTGCTGTCAATGAACATTTGCATCAATACTTGACATAATAATAATATCAATTATTGGTCACAACACCTGCAACGCAGCTTCAGCTTCCAATAAAGCAGGTTCCGCAGTTTTCAACTTCTGTTCTGCCACTGTCTTATTTTTTACTATCACTTGTAGAATCGCTTCCGCTTCATCTTTTGTCACTTGCACTTTTGCTTTCACAGCTTCAGCTTCTTTTTTTTTCTCATTTACAGTAATAAGAATCTAAATATGTATTGCATTATTACATATTAAATGTAAGATCGGCATTTTTAATAAAATTGATATTTTACAAAAATATATTGCTTACCGCCTCCACTTGAACATTTTTTATCACAATCTCCTCTTGAGTTTTTTCCAATTCATGTCGCAACATATCGACCTGAGCCGCAGCGTCAATTAATTTATTTAAACCACTACTCATACGGGAAGCAATTATGTTAATGTCATCCAAACGTTGCTTGTAAAACATTTTATAACTGTCGATAAACGTTAAAAATGATCTCGGAGTCACGTATACTTGTCGTCGAAACCTGCATTCGTCGAAATTACATTAGCTTGATTATATTTACACACAGACGGTGAAGTACTGATGATAAGAAAATAGAAAAATAAACCTGTCGAAGTATTCTGCACAGATATCGCTTACGTTATCTTGAATATCGCCCACAACTTGAATTAACTGTTGTTTTACTTCCGGACTACATATAACGTTATATGTACCTAGGAAGTGTTCACCTACTGCATATAGCGCATCCCTTGGCCATTTCCAAAACCAATTTATCGTGCAACCAGATATAAGGGCAGGGAATTTTAATGACCGAGATCTGAACTTTCCACTGACCTGCGTAAATAATTATGTATTACTACTATACATATACATACTTGACCCAGAAAAAAGAATGAATAGAATAAATGCAAATATTATATTATATTATATTATATGTCTTCAACAATGAAAACTCACTGGTGAAAAGCATAAGACTATATGCAGATTATTTCTCGCTTTCGATATAAAGTAATCATAAAGATTGTCTTGCGTACGAGGTCGTCGGGGATCAACCTTTTTCATAAGCGGCGTAACAGTTGTCAAAATTTCATCTAACTCATCCTTTGGAAAAAGATTGGCTACTTCGCCAACGCTTAATATGTTGTTTATATATTCTAAAAATGCTTCATCTTTTATTTCATTATCGGTGAAAATAAAAGTGAGACCTTTGCTGTTAATACCAGCGGTCCGATACAATTTTCGCAAATCATCCATCAAGCTGGCTACATTATAAATCCTGAAGATATAATTATACTCATATTATTTCTTCACATAGTTTCACATCCAGTACGACGGAAAACATTTACGTAAAACTGCGAAATAAAGGTTCCAACGTATAGCAAAAAAATTTTTAATTAAATTAAATTTTGTAATTATTTTCTACAATAAATACTCCGTGTTTTGCAACTTCAAATTACGCTAAAACATTTAAATGCTTTACAATTTACAAAGAATTCAAGAAATATCAAATTCTGATTTTGATTGAAAATTTGCATATATATGTGTGCATGCGTGCGTGCGTGCGTGTATGTGTGTGTGTGTGTGTGTGTGTGTGTGTGTGTGTGTGTGTGTGTGTGTGTAAATTATACGTGCGTGTGCGCGTAAATAGATGAATTAGGAAATATCAGTTGCGACTAAATGATTTTAAGGTATAATGAAAAAAAAAACTAGTTGCTTTAAAATATAAAGAATGAAATCGCCCTTTGTTTATGTAAAAACATTTTCAAAAATTATCTAAGATATCAAAAAATGTCTTATATATGAATAAGAAGTTTTGCAATAAAATTATCTATTTATTTATGAAAAATATAAAATATTTTTAAAAAATAATTATTTCCAAAATTTATATTGTTAAAATTATTCTTTACGAATATTATTGACATAAATAAATAGAGGTAATTTCGTTATAAGACTTTTGTATAAATCATTTGTTAATATCTTGAATAGTTTTTCATATGATAGGTATAACGAAGGAACTACTGGAATAACTGTTTTGCATAGAAAAAATGATTTTACTCCTTAAAACCATTTATTAGCCGTAACAGATTTCCTAAATTTATTTATTCATGTAACTGTGTACAAAGTTTTATTAAAATCAGAATTTGACACTTCGTGAGATTGCTTTGTTAGTAAAATTTTGATATACTCACCTGGATAATGTTATTTGAAAGAAATTAAATCCTGCAATGAAGGATGCCAGTCGCGTTAGGCTCTGTTTTCCGGATCCTCCTATACCGACCAGCAACGCATTGCCCCTGGGAACTCCAAGTATTCGTGATATTCGTATCAAATGCACCAGCGCGTCATGGAAGAATACCAGATCAAGATGTATACCGCGTATATATTCGTTAAATTGTTCCATATTTTGTTGAATTTTCGTAATAACATCATCGTAACTGCGAGTGACATAAAAATATATATGCGTTTATTAGTTTTTAAATTCATTGCATCAGATAAAAAATTCGACTTGTACTGATGTACCTCGGTATTTCCTCATAAATCTTTGGTGCCTCTAATACAAAATCTTCTGGCTCTTCACCTGTCGGTTCTGGTGGTTCGCGCAAAAAGTTAACGAAATATGTCTCAACTGGGGAATAATATTGAAAATCTACATTTAACATCTTCTCCGCGGTCCGCCGCAACGTATTTTGGAACCATTCTTTATCAGCGGCAGTGATGAAGCTAAGAATGTTTTATTACATATTTAAGCAAATTAAGTTATAAAAATATATTTATTTCATAATTTTAAGAACAACGAACCGATCTGCTATCACACGCATGCATTCATGCTCCCATAATTTCAGCAGTGTTGTTATAGATTCACATTCGGCTCTCTCTATTCTGAGTATTCCCTCCCAAATGCGAGAGAGATCACACAAGTTAAAAACATAATGGAATTTGGCTGGAGTTGGTAACATCTTCGCTTTAGTTTGCTGCCATAATATTCGAGTCAGTGGAATAAGCTTCGGTAAGAAATTAACGATGGTTTCGGAAAATCTTGTAATGCAAAAGTAGCCTTGGCCAATAACATCTGTAATTTTAAATTCATATTGTATAAATTGTATTTTATGTTTTACTAAATGAGCGATTGTAAACATACTGAAAATTGTGTCTAAGGATTTATTGGACGGTAATGTGCAATTAAAAATATTAAACTGCCGTTTCAATCGCGACGGAATATCATTTCGTCCTCCACCCGGCTGATGCATCGCAGCAAGTAACATAATATCTTGTATAGTGCAAAAGTCGCCCGGTTTATCCAGGGAGTAGAATCCTTTGTACTCCATTAACTGACGTACGATCTCGTTTGTAATTTGATCGCCCCATTCGTTTATAGCTGGCATATTTATATCATCAATAAAGATGGTCATTTTGCGTCCACCAGGAGGACCATAAGTGCTACCCACTCGCTTTTCAACGTAGTTCTCGAATACACGCTGAAGAAAGCGATAGATAAATTCGCGCGATAAAATAATAAACATAGTCATATATCATCGCAATTAAAAGCTTATGTAATTGATTTATTTATTATATAATGCTTATAACGTTCAACTTATTATAAGATTATTCTTTTTAATTGACCTTTTTATATTGTTCATTTTTTTCTTCTTTTTTTTTAATATAAAGAAAAAAAAGAAAATATGAATGCAAGAAGTTCAGTCAAAAAGAACAAATTAATTACTTGAACCATGTTAGGCGTGGATGCTGAAGAAAAATTGAAAAACTTATTTAAATGGTATTCGGGATCATGCTTAGACATGTAACTTTTTATCATTACGCTTTTTGCGGTGCCGGCTTCTCCTATTGCATAATTAATTCATATTATGTAATTAATGTAATTATAATAATATTACATATTAATATTATTAATATATAATCTATTAAACATTGGCTAAACAAAACTTATTATTGAAATTATGTTATATGCTCGCCTACCTATTAAAAGTACTGCCTTTTCCTGCTTTGCAATAATATCAATTAAATATAATGTCCTAGTATTATCAATGTTAGGAACAAGAATAGTATAATATTCTAAAATACGATCTGAGGGATATTCAAATTCTGGCACTTTTTTATTCCAATGTATCCACTCTCCATCATCTGATACTAGGTATTCAAAAATAGTTTCATCTTCCTATAAATTGAACATTTATAAAATAAAAAATATTAATAATGGTATGCATTGTACTTTAAGTGATTAAAAAAATGTCAAATTATCATATACGAACTGTATACTTTGGCCAGTTACAATTTGATTCATGATTCACAAGATATTCCTGTAATGCTAATCGTCCATCTAATTCTAGCATTGCACCCAAACTCCACATAAGAGAGAATAGAAAAAGTTTCTCGATATGCTGCTCAGATAATATTTCTAGAAATTATAATTTTGATGAAATATTGGATAAGTACTTAAAAAATATAATTTAATTATAAAGTAAAATTATTTAATTTGTTTTATATAAAAATTAATGAAAATTTTCTAAATACAAATTATTTTCTCAAATTATTTTCTAACAATATATTAAAAAATAGGAAATTTAAGATTAATGAATTATAAAAATATTTAAAAGAAATACGCAAATATAAAGCGATAAAAACAATATGTTCTAACAAAGTGCTTGCTGTTTGACGTTAATATTACATAGCCATGTTGAGTGAATAAATATTTGAATGTAAAAGAGAAATTCTCGTATTTACTAGTTGGGTCGGAATTTCCAACATTTAAACCTTCCAATAAGTCAATACATTGCCGTATGTAAACTGCTTCCAAAAGCATCATTTTAGTTTGAAGCTTTGTTTGAACGAATGTGTGGGCATCTCCATATATTTTATGAAATAACGCTCGTAGCACTTGATCCTCGTTGCTGGAACATTTTCTAAGCCAACCCTGTATTGAAAGTATTGTAACATTACAATCGATTACTGCAGAGGAAAGATCTCATTATTACAAAATCCCAAATCCATATTACCTCTAAAATTGAATTCCATTTTAGCACAGAGGCACTGACGAATACCATTCCCATACGCGATATAGTCGCTGGGGACGCATTATCCACATTGTCAGGTTCGAACACTAATTTAGTATTTGGTGTCATTATAATACGATCACCATTTGCCAATGTTAACGTTTTATTGTCATCCAGAACAGAATTTAAATTTTCAATCCATACTGCGTCAACGGGACCGTCTAATACTATCCATAAATTTTCTGTTTTCTTCGTGGTTTGCATGGATTTTCGCCATATAATGGAAAATATACCATCTGTCCAATCATTCGTCACAACATCGAGTTTTCCAAACATTTGAGATGTAGTTATCGCCTATTTTTTTTTTTAAGAATTATTTCTATCGATATATTTAATAGAATGAAGAACTATTATTCATTAATAGATACTGACTTTTGGATTCATCCTAATTTCCTTATGCGGTATACCTATTTCTGTTAGAGCCCTCATTAGCGCCCACGTGCATCGCGTTTTACCAGATCCTGTTGGTCCAAGAATCATCAAACCATGGCGAACGAGGGAGGTCTCGTATAACTGCAAATCATCATATCATTTTTATTTTTTTTCTCTATAATCATATAACTTATATTAATTCAGCATATATACTTAAACCCTTAAAAAGAAATTTTTTTTAATTATTTACGCAAAACAATTTTGTTTAAAAAACAGATATTTACTTGTAAAATTTTCAAATAGAAGCGAACAAAAAGGAAAACTAATAAAGAGATATAAGTAGATGTAAAGATATTAAAATTAATATTAAGTACCTGAATAGTTTTCAAATTCCATTCTCTGTGATTCATTATTCCAAGAGTGACAGTGGCGTTAGCTATTGCTTTTTGTAATTCTTTATACGTTTTGATTGTTAACTTTACACCCGGGAACATATCTTCAATAAGTGACATAAAAAGAGATTCGTCTTCATCCACTAATTTTGATAAATTCATATCACTAAAAAAATTGATTCACATTTTAATTATCTCTCCTTTCTGTATATTCCAGAAACTTCTTAGAACAAAAAATACAACAATTGATAACATTTACCGTAGTACTCTCATAAGCGTGGTTTCCTCAGAATCAGTAGGATGCGCGCGTTTCTGAGCGCCAAGTGTGCGTAAGCACGACAGGATGTTCCTTAATCCAAAATCATAATGTACCTGCTTGCTGAGCTGTTCCTCGCACAAATTGTACAATATGAAAAATTTTCGCGCTAATACCACATTCTCTTTGAAGCCACACGCCGCGAGTTTTACTCGCATTATGATCTAAACAAGTGGAATTAAATTTATATACGTTAAAATTCATGTATGTTAAATTAAATTTTATAATGAGGAAAATTTTATAAATCCGATTTTTTACAGATTTATATAGGTACGTACGAACACTCCATATTTTAATGTAAAAAAAAGATAATATTTTCGTACTTGTCTATCAGGAATCATCATTGCCACACTTCTAAATTGTATTTTTAAATTTTCCGGTAGTTCTTGTCGACCAGCATATCCGGGATTCATTGTAAGAAATATTCCGAATTCATAATTGAGTTTATACATTTCGCCGTCACTGCAAATAAAGCGTACGTATCCGTTTGCTAAAGCTAATATAATTTATAATTGGAAGCTATTTAATAAATATTAATATTTGTTAAAAATCGTGTAAATAGTAACAAAAAATAAAAAAATTTTTTTTAAATGTATTTTTTGAAAATATTAACTTTTAAATTTAAAACGAAAACTTAATTTTATATAATAAATAATTATCGAATTTATAATTGGTTTTAACATTCTTCCATTTTTACAAATAGCGCATATCGATCAATTTGCTAAAGATATCATTTACTATAATATCATATTTAATACAAAAATAAAAATTATTTAATAAATTATTTGTTAAAAATTATTATATAATTAGTAAAATTAGAAGAAAATTAAAAAGAATGACTTTATTTTACAAAGACATTTGGTTTTAAATTTCTGTATTTAAAATAAAAATCTTAATTTTGTATAATAAATAATTATTCTTTGTACCTGAACAAGAAAGTTGTCTTTCGCTCTTTTCGCGCATTGAACACGATTGCTATTTGCTGTGCAGCGACGGAGAGCACCGGTAAATCAATTCGATTAAATTCATCAAAACATCCCCAGCTACCGGATTGTGCTATTCCTTTAAATATTCTGCCTAAACCTCGGAAATCCATTTGATCAGAACAATTAAAAACAACAACGTATTTTCCTAGTGCTTTCCCCATGTCTTTCGTCGTTTCTGTTTTACCCGTACCAGCCGGACCTGTGGGATTTCCGCCAAAATTCATTCCTAAAAAAAAGTAGGTTCAAGAGATGGTAAATGACATGATGTAAAAACAGTATAAATTCTATTTTACACGCAATTCTATTTTGCTTTTGCTACAAGTATCATACCCACGGCTTGTGCCAGTGTTATGTAACATCTGTCTGTCAGCGGTGTAATTGCAAGTCGATCTGTGCAACCTAAAAATTCATTTTGATAAATGAAATCCACGTCAGTTATCTTAATTGAAACGTCCTCTGTATCAATATCATAATAGAATCGATTCTGTTTCAACCATTCAAAATCATGTATACTTCGAATTCTGAGACGACATAGCTCATCAAATATATCTCTGAAAAAAATTTATAAATGCAATTTATTTTCCATATTCTTCATCATATAATTGATAATTATGAGGTAAATATTTAAATAAATAAAATACCTTTGATGAACGTGTATTGTTATTAAACATTCATATTTTATTCTGGCATACTTTGTAAGATCTTTAACGGTTACTTCTATGAGATTATTTAGCAAATCTAGAAACCATTGATTGGTCCTTTTCATTATCGTTCTATCACGTTTAGCTATCGTCATTGCTATTTCGGAATCTCGTGTCCATAAAACTTGTAATGCTAATAGGCCCACCTGTGAAAAATGAATATATATCTAGAATTGATGTACAATTTCCATTTATTGAATATACGAATTTTGTATATGCACATCATCTTACTTGCAAAACAGAATTCTCTATCAATAACAAGATGTCGAATTCAGGTGTACGAAGTGATTGCAGCCCTAGCGAAATCACAGCACCAACGGATTGCTGATGGACTGTTAACAGAACGTTTAACCAGTTCTCCACGCCTCCTGTACATCCAACTTCTTTTTCCAACGTTATTTGTTCCCCTTCTCGTGAATACATTGCTACAATTTTATCATATTCCTTTTCGGCAAACTTCAGCTATATATAGAAGATAATAAAGTTTGTGAATATTAAAAAGATATAAGATAGAAGAAGCTTAATATAAAAACAACAATTATTTTTGTAACGTGACAAAATTGTCACACTGTAATTTTATTTTACTAATGCATCATAATAAAGCTCATTACTTTTGCTATATTATCAAAAAAGCCATCAAGATAATTTTGAATCGTATGGCAATCTGCTGCTTGTCCAAGAATTTCCAACAAAGTAGGATCTGATATGAAGCAGAATCTTGGGAAAATAACTCGCTTGGTTTCCAAATAACTGTATTAATAGAATTGTTCTAATTAAACTTGACGGTCTGCGAACAATTATTTCATTTTGTTTCAATAATATGTATACCCGCTAAGAGATTTTTGGCACGATTCTAACTGTTCCAGTAAATGAGGTAAAAACTGGCTCATTGTCTCATCCCCAACACATGTTTCCACCGCATTTAATGTTTCGTGAGCGCGAAACATAAGTTTCACCCAAGCCTTATCGATCATCTAAAACGTAAAAATACACGTTATATCATTTTATTGACAATGTCATTGTAAGTTTTTTTAAAAGTACGTTAAAGCGTTTTGCTTCAGTAGGCAACTGCTTCGCTATGTCGCCGCCAATAAATACTGCTTCCAGATAAGCCCACAAATTCTGTACAGTTAACCATTTCGCCAATATTTCCGATGTATTGCTAAGCTTGGTCTGCCACAACTGAATCTCTTTTTTAAACGGTACATTGTAACTGTATAATGTTGAATATGAATGTAGTATATATTATAAAACATAATAATTTTTCAGATTTAGAGTTATCTAATATACCGATTTGCCAGCAAAGAGCTTATGAGCATTAAACTGTCTTCCAGGAGCGCTATTATTTCAGCCGTTTCAATACCTTTCAGCAGTAATTCGCCTCTTTGCTTGAAAGAAGAAAATTGCAGATTTATAACAGCCCAATCCGCAATTATTTGCTTCAATTTAAATTCGATATCTTGTTCCTTCACTGCGCTAATACATATGTCCTATAACATATTTAAGTATAATTTTTGTATTCTGTTGTAATATATTGTAATATATTGTACAATAGTTTGTAAAAAATATACATATAATATATATATATATACATATAATATACATACATATAATAAGTATTCACTAATAGTAACTGAAAGCTTAGAATTTTGCAGTCTAATTAAGCATACCTCAACATCATCTTTATATTTCAATAAAGGTGCCTGCATAACATTTGCTAAGGTAAACGTTTCAGATTTCACATCAAAGAAATATTTACAAAGTTTAGATAGTTTTTCCCAGTGCCTGTCTTTCATGGCTTTATTAGCCATCATCTCTAATAGTGGGCACATTTCATTGAAATCGTCAATTTTCTTTTTTAGATCGACATATGCGGGCCATTCTCTCATACCTTTAGGTAACTTTCGACATCTATAATGATATAGAACAATATTATTTTAAGAATTTAATAGTATCATGTTAAAACATTTTCATTTCATTATATAATTAAATCTTATTAAATGCATGTAAGTGCAATCTGACTTACTTATTTTGGAAGTCGACTAATTCAGTTATAATTGACTCAATATCAATTTCGGACCATGGAATATCATAATAGCTATCGATAGTGCGCATAACTTGCAAATACAATGTATATAACTTCTGCAATAAATGAAGTTCTTTTTTTCTCTGTTGTAAAGCTGGATATTCTGTTACTTCTATGCCGAATAAGCTTTCGCCACTACTATAAGTCTCGTACCTTTCCCACAATTCTTCAAAACGTGCTTGAAACAGGATAACTCTTAAAACACGGACAGAAAAAAGTATATTATGATTAATATAGTGTTTTATTTAAATTTAAGAATATTAGTTATAAAATTAAATATTTTTTATCAATATACTATACACCCAATTTTGCAGAAAATACGAGATACTAGAAGAAACATTATACCGTTCACTGGCTTCTTTTGCGGGTATTCCTTCAATCATTGGGCCATTGAGTTCAAAATCAATGTCAAATTGAGCTACCTTCTTTTTAAGAACCACAACTCCATCAATAAGTTCCTTTTTCAATGGCTCTTGCATTTCACATATAACTATTTGAACTTGCTTCGCCTATAAAAATATAGATATTACTTATTGCGGAGAAAAATGAAAGAGATTGCTTTGAAACATAATTATTATTAATATATACCTATATTTATACATATTGAGTAGAGAGAGGTTCTTTGAAAAAGTCATTATTGAAATATATCAATAAATATTAAATAGAATTAAATTATAAAAACAAATTAATACTATATTGAGCATGTTGTTGAAATTGTATCTCAATCCGTCTACTATATCTTGATCTTCTTTTAATATATCGATATTAAATTTTCCCATTAATGTATAAGTCTCTTCAATCAAGATTAGTTCCATGTCTATTGATACGAAATCATCTCGTATTTCTGCCAAGCATTTCATTGCGACTCTAACATCTTCTAAATCCTTAATATGCCTCGATAGAACTTTATTCTTTTCCAGAATATAATCTGTTATTTTTTGTAATTTTTTCTTGTACGTATTTGATAACATGACACCCAATGACTTTTTCCATGCATTTACTTCGACAAGAAATGCTAATTTTAATTTTTCTATAAAATAAAGGAATTTTTAAATAATTAAAAAAACTTTCTTTTATTTAAATTAAGTAATATAAAATATATGCTAATATAATAGATGAAATATACATAAAAAATTGTTAAAAATAATAATTGATGCATGCCAAAGCAAATATTATGTTATTAGTGATTTTTTAAATTTTTTAGGAGAAAGAAAAAACTTTTTTTTTCTCTAAAAAAATTATCTTAATAAATAAAAATATGAACAATCTCTGTGTGTGCAAAATTAATATGTATATTTAAATAATTTAAACAGAAAACCTATTAAAATTTTATTAAATTTTATAAAATTTTATTAAATTCGTTAAAACTATTAAAATTTTAACATGTAAGTTCAAGTAAAAATGCAAGTCAAAACGTTATAAGTTCAAATGCACAATAAACTTACAATACTTGAGTTGCTATCTATTTTTCTTGTAGTAGCATTTTCTACGCCAAATATAGATCATGTTCGTATACTGTCAGTACAGTATATAGTATACGTAACGGGAATTATAGATTTTCAGTACTGGCAGTCAACTGGCAGTAATATACGAACATGGCCATTATTAGTATATGATAGACCGTAGTACTTACAACTTATTCAGATAATAAAACGCATTTTCATAATTTTAATAGGTATTTACAACATGATACGCCTCAATCATAACAATATCTATTATTTTCACATACCTGTGTTAATTTGAAGAGGACCAAGTATATGTTGTTCAGGTAAATTTTTTATTTCTGTCTTTAAATTTTCATATTCCATAAATTTCTCTTTGATTTCTTGTATAAGAGGTTTAGAATCAATAAACGCTTGTATAATGTCATTTCTATTTTCTGCCCATATGTAGGAATATCGCAAATATGACTAGGATAAAAAAATGATTATAATTATGATAATAGGACATTAGTATATAAGTTACAACACAAATATAACAATGCTGTACAAAATTAAGCTAAATATAATAATGTAAATGTATACGTATAAACATATGTATATAGGAAATAGTATTTATATTATATACGTTGCCAACTTTGGAGACATCATCTCTCAACAGTAATATTAAACCTTGCAGACTTATTGAACTGCGGATTACGTCTTTGTGCTCGGACACGTTTTGAAAATAGGTATTGCGCAAATTTTTATCTGGATAACGTAAACAAATAATAAATAATTTCAATAAGTAATAAATTTAGTCATCTCCTATATTATGATAATAATAGAAATAGAAATTAAATAACAATCTATCTAAAAAATTGCTTAATAATGAAAAATTATGAAATAAAAATTTATTATATGTGTTTGTTATTACCATTAATTCGAATATTTTATAATATTATAGTCTATTATTTACCAAAAGCTCGTGCATTTGTAGAATATTGTTGTCCCCACGCAGACACGTTTTTGTGTGTTTCTATAATATTTGTTATAACTTTACCGAAATCATTTTGCAACTCTTCTATTGATGGAATAATTATGATATTTGGTATTTGTAAAACGAAATATGTCATCATGATCGGAATTTCTTGCTCTACTGCAATATCTTTAACTAATACGCTGAAACATAACATTTATATATTAATTTATTTTTTGTTTTGTTTCTTATTTTACTTTTATTATATATTTAAAATAAAATAACGTAAATATGAGAAGCACATTACAGAAAAATATGAATATGTTAAATACGCGCATTAAATTAAATACCTCATAATGGTTGCTTTCTTCTTTAATAAGTCTAAAGATTTTTTAGTACACTTTACCAAAGCTTCTATTAACTTATTATTGTAATATGCAAAAAGTTCCATACAATCATTATACACTTGATTTATCTTAACTTTGTTTGTTCTTTCGATGTAACCAAAACCTATATTTAACAAATTACTTATTAATTATAACAAAATAATATAAAATTATGTGAATATTTTTTAAAGGATACAATACCCGGCTCAAATGGTCCTTGTATTAATCTAGTTTCGGATCCGACTTTGTGTATTTTTTCGAGATCCATCCAATTGTATTTAATGTCTTGCACGGTAGGATCAGTTATAACATCTATAAATTTATTAATAATCATGATAACAGCCTTCTCTATCGCCGAAGATTTGATTTCCAAATCAATTGCTATTTTATCTGTAAAAGCTATATTATCGGCTAAAAGTTGTTCTGAACTTTTCGGGTATTCATCTAATTTTAATAACATTGTTTCTGCAATAGATTCAAGTACTTCATCTACTCTCGCTTCTTTTATATCTGCCACCTCCTTAATGAATATCTGCGCTTTTTTTATCTCTTCCTCTATTTTAGCGCATGCGTTGGAAATTTTTAATGAGGACCATGTAATTACTGATACACACGGTTGAAAAGCAATTTCAAGATTGACAAGTACAATTTTCATTAAGTTTAAAAATAAAATCGGGATTGATTTTCTGCACACAATACAATAAACGCATGAATATATATATATATATATACGCAAAAATTTTATTTGATATTTATAAAATTTATATACCTAAGAGCATCATTTTTCTTAAGTAATTTTTTCACTCTTTCATATGATGAAAATATTTTGTCTTCGCAAAAAATTAACATTTGTATAAAATCTGGCATTTCCAATCCAAATTTAGACATATGTTCGGATTCTCGTATTATTTCGTAAATGTAAGAATCAAAATTTAGACAGTACTTATTTGTCTTTGGATGACGCACAAGCATAGGGGATGATAATGCCAAGCGAACCTAGTAATTGAAAACTATTTTTAAACTAATCATTTTAGGATATATATGCATGTGCAAAATTTCCGAAATATTCTCTTTCCTAAAAATGAAAAATCAATAAATTGAACGTTTTTACTTTTTATATTTACGTCATCGCACATTTTAAACTCTGTAAAAAATTAATTTAAAAAATATTACACTCTTAAATAAAACTATTTTATTTCACATGTACAAAAAAATATATTTATTTAATTCCGGAAATTAAAATGTTTAGAAAGTATCTACTAACTAATATATAAAAATCAACTTAAATAATAATGATGATACTTACAATATTAGCTGAATCATACCACGCTTTGTAATATATTAACTCGTAATGAATAAATACACTGATGAGTGTATTATATATTTTAATACACTTTTGCATAGACTCATGCGTAATCACTCTGTGATGTGATCTAAACATATTCATAGGAACTTCAATACGTTTATATAACTGCCGGATCCATAGGATTCGACCAGTTACGGGTGGAATATTCCTTGGTACAGGTGGATCGGATCTATTTTCATTATAACTATCGCGGATATCTTCGATCTCTTGTTCAAACATCGAAACGAGTTCTATACATTTTCTATCAATTCTCAGTTGCTTGAGATTCAATTTTTGAAATCTGGGACGACGTAAAATTAATTAAATATCTGTCCTTTTTCTATGAACTAGTTCATGAAAAGAACGATTTTGCTGAAGTATCCAAAATTTAATTAGATACCAGATCTAAAAATAATTTTGTTAGATCAAAATAATTATAGAAAACTCAAGCAATACCGTGCGAAATTTTAGCATTCTGGCAATTAATTTGCTTACATCTTACATAATTATTTTGATAGTTCAATAAATTATTTGCAGATCTCTATATCTAGCTAAATTTTCAAATATTTTATTTTTAGATATTTCAATAAAATTGTTATTTCTGTCTATAAATACACTTTTGAAACATCACAGAGCTATACTAGTATCTTAAAACAGTTTTGTATAAATATGTAATATAAACCGATGAAATAAAAACCGATGAATGAAATGATAAAAAGAAAGAAAGAGAACTTAGTGCAATCTAGTACAGGGAGTGCAGTGAAAAAGAATCATATGTGATCAGATCATATGAGATCAGATGATATATTCTTACATAGTAAATATTTTTACATGGTTAAACAATAAATATGTTAAGAAATTTGTACTACCTAGCTATTAAATATAAACTCTGCGTTATGTTTGGCATGAGAGAAATGCAATTATAAAAAAACGTTCGTAGTTCCAAGTCGGTTTCCGCTACATTCTTTTTGAATTCATCATAATCAACATCAAAATACGGTTTTCTGTGATCTAAAGGATCATACATCTGAGAAAAAATCTTTTTAAAATAATTCGTATACTTTTGTGCGTATATATTAATTCCTTCTATAGTCGAACTGTGCAAAATGGAATACATCCGTGCTGCTTCAAGGATGTCCATGATCTATATTATATATTGCGAATAAAATAATAATATAATCTAAAAATGTGACTTATTTTTGCATTGATTATTACTTACTTTTATTATTCTTGTCTTAAAAGTGGCAAATTTTCCAAAAACATACATTTCAGATATCTCGAAACGCTTCTCATCTGAAGATTCCTCGACTTTCTTACACATATCATCATAACATTTATGATATGTCTCACAGAGCTTAATACAATCCTGCGAAATAATCGCTGATACTATGGTTTAATTTATAAAGCGATAATAGTATGTAATAGAAGAAAACATCTCTCTTATATGTTTTCGTCTTATTTTTACCTTTATTTTAGATATCATAGTACATTTTGTTTCGTTCCAAATGCTTATTTTTCCATTCTCTGTTAAGTATGCTTTACATGCTAATATCATCTGATTAGTTATCTAAATAGAAATTGGAAATCGATGTGATAAAAACTAAGTAACTCATATAACAATATAATAGTTATTAGTAGACTGCGGATATTTATGCAAAATACTTAACTGAATATTAATTATCGGACAATTTTAGCAGTCGATCGTTGTTCGTTAAAGAGTTATTAAAAAGTAAAGTAAAAAGGTTGAGATTGCCATCTGTAAATGTGCAATTTATGCAAAATATGCATTTTATGCAAAATATTCAGTTATTTTCAAGTATTTTGCATAAATATCCGCAGTCTAGTTATAGGAGTTTGGTGATTTGCTTCAAAAAGCTCCAACTCAAAAGCTTCAACATTTGAACTTTGAAGCTTAGACGATTTAAAGCTGTGGCATTCGAACTTTGATACTTCGATACTTCAAGCTTCGAATTTTGAAGAATCAAAATTATACAAGTATTAATTTAATGCGGCTAATAATAATAAATTTATTTTCTTAAAAAAATATACAATGTATTTATAAATGTATTTATAAATATACATATATTGTAAATACATTTTCATTTTTTTATTCCCATAAATATACTTTTCAAAGTTTCGAAGGAACTTTAAACTTTGTGAAAGTTTTTTAATATCGAAGATTGAAATCCTTTTAAAATTTCGAATTCTCGAAGTAGTCAAAAGTAAAATAATTCTAATAATTCTTTATTTTAATAAATAACATTTTTTAAAAATAATTTTCTGATATTAATATTAATCGACTTTTAATTATAATTTATATTCTACAATTCAAAATAGCGATTCAAATTTTTAATCAATTAGAAAAACATACATACCTTTACATATACAGCGGTTACCATCCTCCTAGTATTGAAAAATCGCGATGTAGCGTAAATCATACTTATAGCATACATAAGCGCGGGTAAATAATCTCCTATTTTTGTTGGATCTAATCTGTACAACGGTTGTGTAAATTTTTCTAAACCGTACAGATACTTTACGTTATCTTGAGATAAAATATGCACCATTGTAACATGATCTTCTAATTCCTTCCATTTCTATAAATATAATGATATAATATAATAATATTCAATTCAATACATATTACAAATTAATAATTGCAATTGTACCTTGATAAGTTTTGATTTCGCTTCTGTCAGCAATTGTATAAATGCTTGCGTGTAATTGGATTTTATGTGATTCATTATCGAATAAAACTGACTAAACAATCGCCGCCAATACGCAAGTTCTGCATTTGGTCCTACAGTTTCAGTTTCCCTGCGCAATTGTTGACTTTCAACAATAGCCTAGAAAAAATTGCTTTATAAAATCATGAAATTTTATTAAGAGATATATAATTATTCAAAATCATACCCGTTCCATCAATTTCATCCATATTCGGACATCAGCTTCTACTGCTGTAATAACGTCCAATTTACGAATGCTCTCTCTAAAATTTTCAGGTAGCGCCAAATATTTCTGGTATAAATCCCAATTAATTTGGAAACATATAATATTTTTTATATCTATCTTCGTCACTATGAGAAAAAAAGAAAAGTATTATCTTCTATTAGAGAAAGATTTATATGATAATTAATTAGGGTTTATTTTTGATAATTTCGAAAAAGAATTCACATTTTCGAAATTAATTCCGAATCTTTTAAAAGTTAAGATGCTTCGAAGTTTCCAAAATTTCGAAGCAGGTAGTTTTAAAGCACCTCAAATTTCGAAAGTTTAGGGTTTATTTAAATTTTTTCAAAGTTTTAAATTTTCGAAATTGTCAAAAATAACAATCTTAAAACAATACAGATCATAAGTTATTTACTATTAAGAAATTCGCAGAAATCTTTAAAATCGCCTATAAAATCATCCTTTATCTTTTCTCCGGCTTCACTTTTCGACAATTCTCCCCATTGAGTATTAACAGTTAACGTTCGTGCATGCAAACGTGAAATTAAATCAGATATTCCTGCCAGCGCACTTTGCGATGTAGGATCCACCTCCACATATGCATAATATGTTTCCTACGTGGGACGTAAAGTTAAAAGCAGAAAAAATTTTGAGAAAAAAGAACAAAGAAAATGAAAAAATATATAAACTGCAAATTTCAAAAATAAATATATTTTATAATATATATCTTATAAATGTAAATTAAAATTCTTGTAATATGTTATGAGTAGATATTCCAGAAAATGTGCAAATCTCAAAATGATTCAAGATAGCTCTCATAGAAAAAAGTAAGTCACAATAAAATCATAATGCGAATGTTTGCTTTATCGCATTTGTGATAATACTATGACATTATTATGTAGTTATGCCTTAAAAACTGCACCTTGTGAAAGATGCACTATTATGAAAAACACAGGTCAGAATAACATGATCTCACGTTTATTTTTTGATAATCTCGTAGTGATATCAGAATTTATGATAATTTGACAATTATGAGTACATTATGATGAATGTAATTCTTTTGCTATGAATGGATGCTTTTATTAACTTACATCGAGTAACTGTTTAATTCCAAATTCCAAATTTGATTTTAATCGATAAACTATAACGCATTTGCCTGAGAATTCTTCAGTAGTACCATCTGTTATGCAACAGCGTATAACTTGCTGTTCTTTACTAAGTTGCGGCGTCCATCGCCCGGATTCTGAGATTATGTAAATTCTACATATAGTATCACGATGTAGCATGAAAATGTATTGTTGACATAATCACCATCATTAACATTATATTAAAATTGCGCGTAGAAAAAAAAGGAGCAGGAAAATATCCATCGTTATACCAAATGTCGGAGGACTCATAGGCTGAAGATATACAACAATGGCTTGTCTTCCACCTTCAGTGAAGAAACTGTTAAATACATTCACGTATTCATCCTTGTCGAGAATTCCTTCTTCCAGGACCTCAGGGTCTGTGTTTAAAATGTATGCCACAATCTCCAAGACATGTCGATGCGTAATCTTTAGTAATCCTTGTCTGGCATTGCGAATTTCCTTGAATTTTGTCTAAAAAAAATTTTAAAGATAAAAAGACTCACAAATTTCTTTTTAATTATATAGCATTATTAAAGAAAAATTACAGATTATTTTTTACATTTTTATTTAAATATTATGTGTATAATTATGTAAATTTTATATTCATGTAAATATCATCTTCTATTCTCTTAATTTTTTAATCTTTTGTAAATTTGAAAGTAGCAAAAATAATTCTGAGATATTTCTAATTGTTTCTTTTTACTCGATTACATTAAAATTCTCTTGTAAAAGGTAGTAATATTGATATATTAAATATCAGGATTTTTTGTTCATGAAAATATTATAAACCCGCAAAGGTATTTACAAGTCGCTCTTTTGTACTCTCCGTGGGTAAATCTTCCCTTGTACCAATCCTTCTCTTTACTAACTCGGCAATTCGTTGGTCAATAGCTGGTTTCGTGTAATCTCGCGATGTGGGATACGCGTTTGCCATTGTTGCAAAAAGAAGAAATCATGAACGTATTAATAAAAGACCTAAAAGAACCTTAAACTAGATATATATAACTACACAACTATAAATATGATGCACTTAATTCTGACAATTCCTCTTCAGTCGGAAATTATGCGTATAAAGCAGGACGGATATAAATAAACGAACATCGTAGAGTATTTTTTCAGAAAAAGTTATTAAAATATTGTAAACACATTTTATCCATAGACATAAAATAAAAATAGACTGAACTTTATCAATTTCATTGCATGTTTTCTTTATTCTAAGCAAACATATATATGAGATGTTTTTTTAAGATATAAAATATAAAATATTTTATTGATAAAATTGATAAGAAAATATATTGCATAACTAAAAAAAATAAGACATTGAAAAATAAATGTCGGAAATAGGGAAGTTACAGAAGTTAAAAAACTATTGATTAATAAATATTATATTTATATTTTATTATTACAATAGATTATTATAATAGATATTACATATATTCTTAATATTATTAATAATAATTATTATTATTTTAATATTAGATAACAGTTAATATTTTATTTATTAATA